CACACAAAAACAAGTTTTCAATATGCTATCATTAATGCAAAATCATATAGTACAGCAGAAGTGGTGAGAAAATAGAAAATTACAGAGATGTTTAATTTATCTTCATGAAACTATCGAAAGATGAGTGAAAATTGGCTTTTTTCCTTAAAAATCATTCAACCACAAACTAAAGCGTAATGGATTTATCTTTAGAGGTTTAGGAATCGTCAGGCGATGGGATTTATCTAATAAAGTCCTAGCATTCCTGTTGGAATCTGACAAAACGTGATTATAACTTCTTTCGGTACGATTCCTCTTCTGGTTCCGAAACCTCAGCAAATTTTGTTGCTTGTAATCAGTGGGTTCTTCATTTAAAAAATCACCCTCAAGCGAGTCAATTGATTCTTTAATATTCTGTCCATCAATTTCCCATTTCATTTCCTTAGCTAGCTTCACTATTTATAAATACTACATATGAAAGATCCATGTTATTTAATTAATACCCAAGTAAGTAGGTGGATCGAGTAAAACATTTTCCATTTACGATAATTTGAATATGCCAGAAGTTTACGTAACTCACGGTATGAACTATTATCAGAAGGAAACTTTCAATATGCGACGTTTTCAAGAAACTCAGTTCCACTGTCTTGTTTTCAGATATGGTTCCAGAAATGGCAACATTGCAAAATGTGGAAAACGACAAGGCACAGTAACGGATACTCGGATCGAGTTGTTCGGTCGATACAGCACTGAACTTTCAGCTAACAGTTGAAAGGTCGTGAGCTCATGCCCCAGTTTGGTCACTCGCGTCTAAATGGTCAGAAACTACGGGCTATACTTGCTACATAGCCATGCGGAGGGAGGGGGACATGAAAACGAACATTCTAACATCTTAACTTTCACCTCGACGGCTGACGTGATCTGTTGCGGGTTTATGAGGCCACAGCGGTGGTGAGGTACGATGAGTTCGAAAATAAGACCTTACACTGAACGATGCGGTCCGCGCTGGTGGACCTTTCATGGCGGCGACGAGGTTCGCACACGAAGCCGTTTCGATGGCACCACCGCCACAGGAGCGCCGGCGAGGACAATGCAACAGCAGCGGCAAGAAACTCAGCTGACTGAGGTCCATTGGAAAAAGAGCATTTGTCGATAGGCCAACGCACATCTGTCGGCCAGGACTGGTCAGAAACCATTTTGG